TCCTATTAAAAATATAGGTGCAAAGGAGAGAAGGTTCTTTATTTTTTATTTCACTATAAACATGCTTCTCTTCATTGCAAATATTATAGTCAATAATAAATGAGGAATATGATCAGATATATTACCTCCATCTGTAATTATATAAAAATATTAATAAAAATGTTAATAGCCAAAAACAAGCAACTTTGAGGGTTTGACAAAAATACACCTTTAAAAATAGCTTTTACAATGAAATAGTTTAATTCAAAAGAAATAACATGCTTTGTGTTATAATACTTCAGAAATTTTATTTAATCCTCTCTAATGTTTCAGATTTCTATTTTTATTAACTCTCTTTACTTATGGAGTCTGAAATATCCATTTAAATTCATATGTAGAATCGAACTACACTGGAAATAATTATACACTTCATATTTTTACAATGTATGGTATTAATGACAGAGATTTCTAAAATTTTTGAAGCCATGCATGTTTCATTCATACATTTTAAGGCTTTAGCAATTTAATGTGCCACTTTCTACAGCATTTTAGCAAAGGTTCAATGTCATACAGTCTTCCTGTTTTTAAAACAACTATTTGATTATTAGTTTATTAGTGGTAAAAAAAGTGAGATTTTATACTATGTATAGAACTAAGTTACAATTATATATTAAGATTGATTCTCATTTTCACTTTAGCTGTGGGTGTTTTATGAATGCTTTATTTTAATTTCTGCAGAGCCACATGACCTGGACCAAACTTCTCTTAAGGAATCTCAATTTTACTGAAACTTCAAAAGTGTTTGTGAGATCATGTTCTAAGATAGTAAGCAATCCCCAAATAATTGAGTTAGGTCCCCAGATAAGTTAGGTCATTATAAACTTATGTCTTTATAGTAATACTTTGTTTTTATCAATTGAAAAATGTTCTTGGTAATTAAAGTCATATTTAGATACCAATGATACTAGAATATTGTCATTAAGATTATGATAAGATGAAATTTTATTACCCTACATTTTATTACCCTACATTTATTACCCTACATTGTCTTATTTGTTAAATATATCACATCCTTTGTGTATATGTGACTTACTATTTACATTCTTTTTTAAGAATAAAGCTAGAACTTTTGCAATTAAATTAATAACTACTTATTTAACAATAACTCTTGTTTAACAAAAATCAAAAGAAACTTTCTGCTTGGTTGAAATATTTTTTCATTAATTGTTTTCATAGAAGTAGTAGGAGTTAGGAAATGTATATCAGAATAAATAAGTAGTTGCTTCTGGTCATATTAAATTCTTTTATATTTTTTTTATAAATTGTTAGTAAAGATAATAACTGTCCATTTTGTTCTAAATACAATTAGGATTAGATAAGGCTGAATATCATAATAAAACAATACTTTTGGCACAGCTGAACAAATTGAAGAAGCTAAATACAACCAAATACTTTCTAAACAAATACTATATTTCAAATAGTTTTATCTATTTTATTTTATGAAGCACATACAGATCTTAAATCTGAAAAGTCTTTATGCTTTAAATAGTGGAAAATAGTTGAAATAGTTCTCTGTTCAGTTTATTTATAAAATTATCTTTCTTGTGCTCATAATCTGGGGTACAACCTCTTATGAGAAATAAACTTTTTTTAGGCAAGGCTGTTAAAATGGAGTTCCATTTAGGTAGACTGGTATTTATTAGAATCAAAATATCTGTCAAAGTGCCATTATATATTGGGTATCCATTGAAATATATATTTTAGAATAGGTGTAATATGAAGCATAAAAAACTAAATAATTAGCAATAGAATCTTTCTTAAATTTTATAGTATAATTGTTGGGAACTTTAACACTATAGATTTTAAAAAATGAACTGCATGTTTCCTAGTTCTGTAATGGTTCTCTCCCAGCCCAGTGGGATTTATTTTTAATCGGTTGCCTCCTTGGTTATCAAAGGGGAGAAATTTGGTCCTTATATAGGTAGTCTGAGAGGTTAACATCTAGTATCTTAATATAATCTTAACCGGACCTGTTTTTAAATGCTTTTCCTTGGCTTGCTATTGTTAATTGGGGAATATATCCTCCTAGCTAAAAAAAACAAACAAAACGCTAGGTAGCCAGCATATTTCAGCAGATAAATTTTAGGTGATAAAGATAGCCAGTCAAACCTGCCCAGGCCACCCTTAACCGACATTGTTGGAGGTACTAAGAAGATGCTCCGGTTTTTCCTTGCGGGGGATGCGAAGCAATATCGGAGGAAGGGGTGGCTGCTTCTTACAGCTCTAAGTGGCCTCCGGGATGGATCTTGGAGCTTCTTCCCGGTTTGCTCTTAAGACAGGTCTCCACCCTCAGCATGATCCTCCCGGGTAAGGACAAAAGCCCTTCCGCTCAGGTGGGCTCCCGGTCACGCCGCCCAGCGCCAAGAGAGGACGGGCGAGCAGTCTACCGCTGCCCGCGGCTTTCATTGGGTTTCTGGACATTAGGTTGTAGCGCAAGCTCCGGAATCGTTCTTCCACCGCAGCTGAACCCGGGAGCGAACGGCAGGGAGGGAAGGCGTTCTACAACGTCGGAGTGGCGCCCAGCTGCAAGGACGGCCTGAGTCCGAACTATTGAGGCGCTAAGAGTTAGCGCTTGCCTCTAGCTTTGGACCTAGCAGATGCCGGCTTTCAACCTTCCAGTAGTCGAATGTACGTGAGAAGTAGCCCATTGGTTATTGTTACTTAAAACCGCCACGAAAAACTATTTCGAGTAGTCGTTTGCTTTGTTTTCAGGTAGTAATGCAGCTTCCAAATACCCGTTGTTCTTGATGGAAACAGGTGCTCTCCAGCATGGACCGTTTAGAATCTGCAGTTTGTAGATACCAAACCAAAGGCTGACCTCTGGTTGAGGTTGCCTCTCAAACTTGCTCATGGCAGAGAAAGCACCTGGAAGAAGGAAGGAGGAAAGCAAGGCCTGGAAAGAAGGTGAACGCTGTAGTGATTGCAATGGTACTGCTTTTGTTTCAATATTGGTCGGGTGCCTTTTGAGATGCACACAGAACTATTGCAGATATACACACAGAACTATTATGCGGCATATATTCTCAATAATATATTCTATCATAAAGTGCAAAATAGCAAAGATCATAGCATCTTTCTGCCTCAAGTTAATAGAAATTGCAATTTCCCTGATAAAGACGCTTTGATGCATATAAAATATTCCATTTTAGGGCAGACATTCTGGTTTCAGGTCTTTAATGTTTCCTTATTCCTATCTTGTTTTATAAAGAGGCTGTGTTCGCTTTAGCCCCAAACTTCAGCATAAATGAAGAAGTAAGGTAAGATTACCTATTAAGAAAAGCTAAATAAGTTCCAGAATTTAGCTTGAGGAAAAGAAAATGTAATTTAGAAATTGTAACATTATGAGCAGCAAGACTTTACTGTAACTGAAGATTGGTCCTTTGGCTAGGCTCAACACCCATCTAACTCAACACCCTTTACTGTTCAAATTTGGCAAGGAGAGCATGCAGACCACTTTGAGAAAAGTAGCAGGAGAGAATGGGTCTTTGATTTAATCTGGAAAGGCTATTCCATTCTGGAAACTGCTTGGACCACCTGCTGTGAGGAGAGCATGATTTGCACATAAAATGACCTTCCTCAAAAAGAAATCCCTCCAAACTCATGCATTCTCTGGAATCAGTCGAGGCAGGCAAAAAGGGTTCATAACGGGGGCCATAGTCTGGCAGAAACAGTGCAGAAAGAGCTCAAGGTATGCACAGCGTCTTTCCCCATTTTGAAAGGTAAGGCACATAGGGAAGGTTTTAGAGTTTGAGGGGGTTGGCCACCATACCAAATCATGGAGGAGGGGGACGTTTTCTAAATTCTTTGTATAACAATGTAATCCTGAAGGTAAAGGCTGCTCTATTGTGAAACCCTGGAAAGCACCCTAGGAGCGGGCCAGTAAAAGCCCTTGCAGTCATGCAGAGTTTTCAGTTGGGGAGCTGATGCGAATTTCAAAACGAACGTGCTAGCGTATCGTAGGAATGATCCCGACAGGTCGGAGGAGAGTGGCATTGATTTATGCTTTCAAAGGATTAAATTGGCCTCAAGGAAGAGGTAGTGGGATAGCAGGTTGCCTCTTGCGGGGGACGGACTCCTCCCGGCTCTCTCTTTGCTTGAACACTTCGCCTCCCGAAGACAGGCGGAGGGCGCGGGTGCAATTCCTCCTTCGGAACGGCGGGCGACGGAAGGGTCTGCTTAATGGGCCAAGAGGCGGGATGAGGAGGATGGAGGGGGTGCTTCCTTCTCCGTCCTGTTTGTGTCCGCTGACAGACCTGAGGCACACGCCGACTTCTGAAAGGGGGGAGAGGAAAGAGAGTTATTCTGGCGAGGTGACCGCGTATCCGCGTTTGATCGCAGACGGTTTCCCCCCCCCCCGAGGGAGAGGGAGAGGGAGAGGCGGCGGCGGCGGCCTCAGTCGGGGTGCGCGTGAGGAGGGAGGGGGGATCCAAGCGCGCGCGAGCTGGGGCCGGGCGGAGTCTGTGTCCCTGGCGAGGCTGGCCTGGCGCAGCGCGAGGGCGGGTGCGGGGCCTGGCCGACTGCTAACGGGCGACGGCGGCAGCGGCGGCGGCAGCGCAGCCCGAAGGGAAGAAGGCGCGATAGCCGGGCGGAGGACGGGTGGGTGGGGCCTGAATGCCAAGAAGCGAGCGCCTCCCTGCCCTCGCCCAGTCAAACCCAGCGAGGCGCTGCCGTCTCCGATCCCCGGGCTCCTCTCCTGGACCTCGCGCTCTCGCGCTCTCCTCCTCTCCCCGTTCCTCTGCCCAGTCGCGCGCTTGCCTCTCTGCCATGTTAGCCGCTCTCTCTCTTTCTGTCTCCTCCACAGATCTCGCGAGAGCGGCCGGCTGCTGCTGGTGGCTGCGGAGGGGGTTGGAGCGGCGGCGGCGGCAGGAGCAGTAGCGGCGACGGGCGGCGGCGGCGGAGGCGGCGGCGGCGGCCGGGGGGGCGCAGGCAGGCAGGCGGGCGTCGGGTAGCCCGAAGGCATCATGGCGGATAGAGACAGCGGCAGCGAGCAGGGCGGCGGCGGCGGGGCGCCGGGCTCGGGCCCTGGCGGCGGCGGTGGCGGCGGGCCCGGCAGTAGCGGCGGCGGGGTGGGCCTCCAGCACGAGACGCAGGAGCTGGCCTCCAAGCGGGTGGACATCCAGAACAAGCGCTTCTACTTGGACGTCAAGCAGAACGCGAAGGGCCGCTTCCTGAAGATCGCGGAGGTGGGTGCGGGAGGCAGCAAGAGCCGGCTGACGCTCTCGATGTCAGTGGCGGTGGAGTTCCGCGATTATCTGGGCGACTTCATCGAGCACTACGCACAGCTGGGGCCCAGCCAACCGCCGGAGCTGGCGCAGGCCGCGGACGAGCCCCGGCGGGCCCTGAAAAGCGAATTCCTGGTGCGCGAGAACCGCAAGTATTACATGGATTTGAAGGAGAACCAGCGCGGGCGATTCCTGCGCATCCGCCAGACAGTCAACCGCGGTCCAGGCCTCGGCTCCACACAGGGCCAGACCATCGCCTTGCCAGCCCAAGGGTTGATCGAGTTCCGCGACGCCTTGGCCAAGCTCATCGACGACTACGGCGTGGAGGAGGAGCCGGCCGAGCTGCCCGAGGGCACCTCCTTGACGGTGGATAACAAGCGGTTCTTTTTCGACGTGGGCTCCAACAAGTACGGCGTTTTCATGCGGGTGAGCGAGGTCAAGCCCACCTACCGCAACTCCATCACCGTCCCTTACAAGGTGTGGGCCAAATTCGGACACACTTTCTGCAAGTACTCGGACGAGATGAAGAAGATCCAGGAGAAGCAGAGAGATAAGCGGGCCGCCGCCGCCGCCGCATCCTCCTCCTCCTCCGGCGGAACAGAGCAGCAGCCAGAGACCGAAAGCAGCAGCAGCACCGCTATCCCCACTGGCCCGCCCGGAGCCTTGCTGCAGGCGGAGGAGCCAGAGGAGGATTGATCTCCATCTATCTTTCCTCCCTCCTCTCCACATCCCTCCTTCCCACTTGGCTGCCTCCTCCCTGCCCTGCTGCACAGAGACACTGGTAATAATGACAACAACACACAGAGAAAGACTTTATACTGTAAGGGAGAGAAAGAGAGAGAAAACCAACATCCACAAGCCGAAAATAATGCATACCGTTAAATATACCTGTTATAACTCCATGGGGAGCACCATCTACCTATCCACCACCAAAACTGACAGCCGAGCAAGCAACTTCTTTCTCTCCACCCCATCGCTGGATTGTTCCTTCCACTCTTGCTCATCGTATAAAACAGTAAGCAGCTGCTAAAAACAAACAAACAAAAAAATTACAAAAAAAGTAATAACATTATATAAGATGAACTGTGTTTCCTACTTGATTAAAAAAATATAAAGAACTGAGTGTTTATTTCCCTAATTAACCAAGAACTTTTGTACACGTTTAAGCTATTATTATTAAAAAAAAAGTGTTTGCAAAAATGGTCAAGATTAAAATATTGCTGAATTATATTAAAAAAGAGAAAATGTCCTTTTCATGTTGAGCTAACATTTGACTTTAGCACAAAAAAGAGATATTTTAGAACACGTAAAATAATATTTTTAGTTTTTCTTCTCATTTTGTTACCAAATTTCAAAACCTTTCATGGAGGTTATTATAGTATATTTGACACCCTATATACCTGTGATTAGAGATGTGTATATATATATGAGGGCTAGGCATGCTGTGTGTCTGAGCTTTGTCTAAATGTTATGCAGAAGTCTGTAGAGTTAAAAGGTACGTAGGTTTAATTCATGCAAGGTAACAATAAGTGCTCTCTTTTATACAATATGCATTGCATCTGGACCTTAAGCATATAAAATGGTCAGTGAAACTTCTGTGAACATAAAGAAAAATATTAAAAAGGCATTTAAATGAAATTTGCTAACTTGTGATTTTTATGGTTTGAACCAAAGTTATTCAAATAGTAAAAAGAGAGAGAAATGATCTCCCATATTTTTCTGCACCTGTTTGGTTTACAACTAAGTAGGTATCTTGTCATTGTTGTGTATATGAGATGTAATTGTATTGTTCATAATATATATATTTTTATGAAGTGTACTTAAAGTACTTTAACATGCAGCGATTTTCAGTATGCCTTTTTTTCAACAACAGGTGGTAAGGGTTTTTTTGTGTGGCCACTAGCACTATTATTTTAATTTGTTCAGAGTCTCAGTCAAAACTCCAGCTTATGCTAGTGCTAACTAACTTGTGTAGGCCTGTCGTAGACATCAGTTCAACATGATTATGGTGTAATCCTACTGAGCCATGGATTTGAGTTTCCTTTAAAAGTAAAAGCCAAGTTGGTGTGTTGTAAAGAAATTTTCATGTAGCTGTGGTGCTAGTTATTACTGGCTACATACTTTATTCATGTAGTATTGACTCCTCCCCCAAGTGTGCAAATCTTCAGTTATAATTATGTACTTTGTGTGATATATATTAAAGCTGTAAAGTATAAAAACAGTCTGTGAGAATACTAACCTATCTGGAAGTGTTCTCCAACTTGCAATTATTTGTAGTAATATACTTTTACAGATTTTTCTTTAAAATGTTTGTGCTTTTAGTTGACTAACTACTTGCTGCTGTATAGTAAAATATTAATATATTTTTATCATTAAACTGCTGCATGACTATCATCATTGCAAAGTGAAAACAATAAATGATGCCTTAAAACAGTAGAAAAAATAGTTGGAATTCTGTAGGAAGAATGGACAAATCAAGAATCTTATTGATTCTTGATTTTCTGAGTGTATTCATTTTCTAAACTACTTTTGACAAATTTATCAGTGGATTTAACTACTTTATGTAGCAGATTCCACCTGTAGGAACAGAACTGTGTTTTGGTTTTCATTGATTGTAAGAGATTGAGTCTAGGTAAGACGATGGTTCAAAAGAAATGTATTTTTGGTTAAAAGTAATCCCCTTCTTTAGAGATATATTATAAGTTATTAAGACAAGTCTGTTTCAGTTGTATCCTCTATTTCTAGTTAAATACATTTGCTAATGGTGTCTGTATAGCACCAAATGTGCAATAATATAGTGGTTAGGATTTTTTTTTAGAATCACTGGAATTTATTACAATTGTTTTCTAAGATGCACTTTTCCATAAGGAAAAAGTAAGCTTCCATGGTGCACAATGTGATACTTTTTGGCCGCATGTAAAACTTTGAGTGTCAGATTTGCTTTGTTTTAATTTGTAGGCGGTTTCATACTGTATTTGAACTGTGATATAGAAAGGACTGCATTTTCCATGCTGTAGGTAGTTGAAAAGCTTAATGTTTAAATTTTTGCTATTTTGTTTGTACGTTCCACTATTCCCTACAGTGTCTAAGGTTTTAATTCTATAGATTGGCAGAAGCGTTGTTTTTAGCAATAACCTGTTTTATATGGGGAGAGGGACAGTCTTGTTCCATTTGAATTAAATCAAACTTGTATAACAGCAAAATACTCAATTCGGTTTTAGAGTGGACATAGATAGTAAACTTGTAAAGAGATTTTAAGTGAGTACTTTGCTTCTCAGGGTGTGAATGTACATTTTATTTGCCCCACTGTTGCCTGTGACCAGATTTATATAACATAGCAAATGTGTGTTTATCAAAGGCAAAACTAGAATGAAGGTACCTAGTATAGGCAGTTAGTCCTTACCTACCACCTTTGATCCTCTAAACCTGTTGTCTGATTCCAGGCAATGTTGAAGCTATTTTAGTCAACAAATATATGTTTTGTTTATATCTCTTTCGTGAGAGTCAAAGTTCAAAAACTTTTCCTGGCCTGTGTATCTGAGAATTCAGTTCTTTATATGTTGGAACAAGATGACATGTGAATTGTATAATTCTCCTTTTAGTCCAGTTCCAGCAGAATTTGATGTTCCCAGTCTAAGATAATCTTTTTCTCCCATAGGCACACTTGATACTTTAGGACCTGTTCAATATGATGTTATTTGAACCATAAATTACCTTGATTTGATTTCATGTTTTTCCAATTGATGTGCTCAGTACTTGATAAAGGTACAATAACTCACAATTAAAATAAGCAATAGTGAGAGAATCTTGTTTAAAGGCCAGATGAATAAAAGTTAATGGTATATTTGATCATATTTGGTATTTTTAAAACAGTATGTTCAAATGTGCCAAGCATCCAGCTTTTGGAAAACATGCCTTATTTTTCCTGAATATGTTTTCAGTGTCTTGTAGGAAAGATCCACAGTCATAATGATATTTTATATGAAATGCAAGAAAACTTGAAATCCACTGCAATATAAACTTAAGTCTGTTTTTGTTTTATTTTTAAATGAAAGGGACACTGTCAAGTAACTTTTAAAATATGATCTCCCTTTCAGACTATCACAGCATGGCAATTGTGTTCATTTTAATTCCACTTGTTTTTTTTTAAGTTGCTCTGTCTGAGAAATTAAATAAATGAGTTAAAATTAGACACTGTTGATTCATGCCTCTTTATTATTGTATGCTGTAAAATGCAATTTTCAGCCAGAGGGGGAGCTAAAGTGATTAAGAAATAATATTCACTGTAGAGCAGAAATTCTCTGAGTGCTAGAAAAAAGTAGCAGAGAAGGGCAAAAATAGGGAATGCAACATTTATTAATCCATCAAGAGTAAAGGGTGTAAGCAACCTTTGCATGCAGATAATGGAAAACTTACAAAAATGTAAACATTTAACCTAAAAATACTTGACAGTGTCACTTTTTAAAGTAGCATTTCAGGGACTGCAACTGATTCTATGTAGCTTTCTTTGAGAAGTACTATGAAACAGAACCACCCACTCAGTATTTTGTAAAATGTAGATCTGTCTATTCTGCAGATAAGAGCTATCATTTCCAGCAATGAAGAAAATTTATGTGTGTCTATAGTAGACCAGAAGCATCATTTCAAAAGAACAACATTTTTTACTTTTAAAACATTGTAACATTGCTTTGATCAGCCAGAGCTGTGCAAATTGCTGCACATCAAGCTGTGCAAATTATTATATATATTATAGTCAGCTAATTTGATGGGATTTATGCACTAACACATACATACAAGTTACCAGTGTGTGACTTTTCATGCTGACCAATAGTAACAAATACATTTTGAATTGGTAGATAATACTTTTGAAACATATAATCTTTCTGCAAGGGGTGATTATATTTTATAACTATTTTCCATATATATATATGGAAAATATATATATATAAAACATTTGTAATAAAAATCAGTGGATCTCTTTCAGTTGTACTCACTGGTTTCTTTTTACTTTCTAGTGCCATATTTTATTTCTAAAAAATGCCTGGGTGGGATAGTTATGTTAGCAAGGTTAAGGATAAATATTAACTTCAGAAATTAGGTTTTCATATGTCCAGTTTACTTTCACTAATAAGGATGTGATTCAGTCATCTAAATATGGCTTTAAGAATATGGAAACTATAACGTGTCCTTGCCTCATCCCTGATAAACCAGTTTTTTCATCACGTTCAGGATTTCTTTTAACCAAAAGTTCCTCTATGTTTGGAATCAGTGATGGTTATGTTTTAGTGCCATACTATGTCTCAGAAATCAGGATTAATTTGATTTGGTGTCTTGGTCAGCTATCTAGAAGTAACTAAAAAAAGGGAAGTGGTAGTAAAGTATTATATAAGAATAACTGACGATCCCATAATGCACTGTTAATTGTCAAAAAGTCAGTTACAGTGAATTAGAATAATTGTATTGACATTTCAAATGTCTACGGAGAGTCTTAATCATCCAGGTCATGGTTGTCCCAAAGGTGTTTTTCCAAAAGACAATTGGACTTTCTTGATTTTTTCCCCCTTGAAAATACTGATAAAGATAAACCCCCAAGTGGCCTCAACAACTTTCAGAGAACTAACAACAGACTTGCAGAGTGCTAATAACCAGCTGACTGCAGAGAATATAAATCCTTCCATTTCCCACCAGCCATTTAG